CTTAGTTTTCAGTTATGTAACAAACTAGTATTTTTCATGTAATTAGTTTCCAGACCTGGTTTTTGTTTTGTGTTTCTATCTAGATTTTTCAGTTTTGAGATTAATGAATGTTTGATATAATTCTTGTTAGTCAGATCGCCTAGCTTGGGTTTTATCATTCTAGTTAATCATTTAATAAAATCCGTAATTATTCTTGTCAACTGGTAATAAGTAATAAGTATCAGATTGGTTTCGTGTTTGGAATTTAACTTTGATATAAACTATAAAAATCATATCTTTACACTTCCAGGCTTGTGAGAAGTATTGGGTATTGCTGAGAATTTTACACAGATCATAAAGTTGCTTTTCTGATTTGATTAAGTGCTTGTTTGATTGAACAGTATAAGTTAACGTTAATTCAAATACCTTGTTTTGGTTAATTAATTTGGTAAAAAGAGATTATACTAGAGTTTGTTAAATTTTCTCAGTACCAGCTTAGATAGAACGCATCTCGAATAACCAGATCCGAACTGATTGCATGATTAGGAAAGTCGCAGCAAAACTAAAATCTCTTTTGTTATTGATTTTCGTTTAATTTATTTTCACTATAATTTTTTTTTGTTTTTAATTTAATACAAAAAACCCCTTTTTATGTTTTTTTTTCTTGACTAGAATGTGCCTGATGCAAAAAGACATTGACCATTAGGCTGTGTCACTAAGGTTTCGACCCTGCTTTCCTGTGCTATATTATTAGTGCAACCAACAGTGAAATTTTATTTACTTAATACGCCCGCGACAGCCTGTTAACACTCAAATTCAATATATATATATATATATATATATATATATATATATATATATATATAATAAGTATGTATATTTTGGGAATCACTTTCATGTTTGGGCTCTAGCTGACTGTATACATCACATCTTCTTGTAAAACTAAGGTTGAGTAAGAGATCCGTGTTCATGATCCCAAGCCAACAATCAAACAAGAACATGGCAAGAGACTAAGCCCATGTTTCTAGCCCAACTTTTATTAAAAAATCTTTTTTGAAAACATTTTGTGAAAATTCTCAGACCCGAGTTTGATTTTGGCTTCACGTAAATGTTCCTCCAAATCCCTCAAACCAGGTCTCTTATACCAACTTGTAACGTCCCATTTTTCACTAACAATTTTTATTATTATTTATAATCAAGGTAAAACAACATTCCCATAACACCCAAGTAAGAAAACTCATTTTTTCTACATATAATTGTTTAAAAATCAGATTAATATTGTAACATCCCATTTTCACAACAAAAAAATTTCATTTTATTTAAGGTAAAACTATAAATCCATTTTAAGAAAGCCATTTTTTTCAAATTACAATTGTCGAAAATCAGAGAAATATAATAAACGTGTAATCCTCAATGTTGCTAATGAGTGTATAGTCATGCCTTCACCTTCCCATGATCACTGATAGAACCTAAAAACATAAACAACTAAGTAAACACAAAGCTTAGTGAGTTCCATAAAAATATCACACACAATAGAACATATACAAGCATACATACTGGGTCCACAGTTATCGGACTGGATTACCCCAGGTATGTTGGCCTACCGCTTTAACCAACCAATCTTCCCGAGCCTCCAAGCCTATGGCTTACAACCGGTCCGCACCTGGTCTCTTGGCCAATAATGCACATTAGGAACGCCTCAACCTTAACTGCCAAAATATGTCGTGTGACATCCTCTAATTTTCAGAACCAATTAAAACTTTTAACTAAACTTTAAAAATCATTTATTTATATTTGTGAAAAATCCCAATACAAAATATTATTTTGATTACAAATGTTTGTTTCCAAAATGTTAAAATCCTTAGGATGTCATAATTAATAAAGATACTTAAGTTACATCGTAAAGACCTGATGGTCCTGAATACTATTACAGGTTGTCTCTTAATCACTCAACATCCTAACCAAGTTTCAATAGCTTAATTCTTGATACTCAAGATGCATATAAATTGAGTGGGTCAGGTTGGGAAAAAACCTAGTGAGATACATAGGATTTCAATCCCACAATATTAATATGATAATGCTCCTTAATTATCAGACCTACAAAACCAACTATTACCATGCAATATCCATATATGCTTATAATTCTACATATTTATTCCTACCGATCCTCACAGATCCTAGGCCATGATTATCATGGGGAAATCATCTTGCCTAATGAACCGTTAAAAGATTGACTACATAGCTAGGGGCTTCCTTAGTCTGTGTAAGTCATAAAGAATATGTAGACATACAATTGTCTAATCGAGACCTGCCTATTCTGGTTATCCAAGAATATGGAGACATATAATTATAGTTATATGATCAGGACCCGCCATATCTGGTCATCCCAAGGGGAATACTATATCGTACTCTCGTACGGAGCTACTGTATATCGACACCTGAAAGTGTCACAAAACATAACTTTACTCTCCTATCCTAGGTTACACATGTTAGCCTAATGAGAGTACCTTATATCAAACTTAATTGAAGTATGTACCTTCCACAAGTCTAAATTTATCCCTAAACTAGATTACAATGCCTGTAACCAAGTTTTAATACCAACTCTATTATAGGGTGACACTAACCTATCTTTAGTGTATTTATATTCCCTACAGAGCATTAGATATTACTATTCTTTTATCTTCTCAACAATGCTACTTTTAATACTCTTATATGATATTATCTATTCAATCCAAACATAAAATAAACCCCAAACTGGTTCGCATATAGAATAATATATACATAAATTAACATATAATTCAGGCAACAAGCATATAATTCATATACGATTCCCAGCAAATATTTAATACTTGTATTAAATCGTGTTCATGAAATGGAATATGCACTCACTTGATAAAAGTGGATGAGTGAAGAGTTAGGCACAGCTTTGCTTCGTACTTTGAAAAGACATAGACACATAAAGTACTAAATCGTAGTCTAGTTTCACAATCTTGTTGACTATAATAATTATAGTTAAGATTCCTCACTAACCTCAATGTCTACATCAAGATCTATCAATTAAGGATTAGCCAGGCAGGACAGTTTGGAGGCAGGACCATTTCTACATATAGTCTTTATGAAATCGAACAACCAAACCAACGTGACCATTCTAGACACCTCTCTTGTAAGTAGATAAATCAATATTATAACTTGAAATCACTGATAAATCTTATTTATAGGTTCATATATAATATTTTAACCCTTCTTGAGTTTTAAAGAAATATCAAGTGTTTTGAACCATTTTTCTCTCACATAACTTTTCTCTTTTGAAATATGAAGAAATATAAGCAATATGTAAACCATGTTTACCGCATTATACTTATGTAGCAATGCATAACTCACCCTAAAATATGCCAATTATTTAACAAGGTGGAGTTTATATAACTCCAAATTTCATCGATAACAATCATATCGAACAATACTTTCAAATACATTAAATTATTACTCTTGAAGAAAACTCAAATCACTCACACAATTAGAATGAAACACATTACAACTGAAAATGAAAAAATTACAATGATATTGATTGCAGTTTGCAAGGTTATCGAATATGGATGAATGTTAAACCTGCAACCATGAAAAATCAAAACAACCATCCATAACAGAGGAAACTTGAATGAACATTTTAAATATTCTCTTAAAGTACAGTGGAGTTTTGAGGACCCAACTAATACCTTAAACAAACTAACAATAGTACTTGAACTGAAATATACCAAACTCAAGTTTTGAAAATGAATTCATTATGCCCACTGAATACTTGATTCAAAGATATACTTGTTAAAACCAAGTAAACACATCAAAATCATACTAATACATTAGTTTGTGACTCAATCTTGTTTAATAATGTGAAGTCGATATTTGGGGATGCTCCATTAACATAAAGTCATGGTGAGATGGAGATCTGAATCACAACAAGAGATGACTTGTCAGTTATGATCCGGGAGAAGGTTCCGGGAGAACACTTTGATGGTCAAGTTAGTCTCCAACAGAGGTAAGTGTATGATTATATTTAGAGAGTTAAGAAATTAAGGTCCCTTTACTGTTGGCGGCATGTGGTCTTTCATAATGAGATGATTGTCATGTATCTCTCTTTGGGAGACATGAGTGTCGTCTGAATCAAGATAATGGTGTTGATTGGTGGATCGTACCTTTGTCTCATGTTAGAGATATGATTGGATTAGCATGAACAATGGTAGTGGTTCATGCACTACCATTGAAGCTTCCATATGCTCTTTTGTCACCTAGAAACTTGACCACGAATGTTCTAGACTGGCCATCAGGTAGCAAGACAGGCCTGATGCGTTGGATTTGGAGTTGGGCAGTCTGTTGGCCAGATAGCTAACCATATGACGTGATGTTGGTTACCGTCATTATCTTTTATGGTTTTCGAATTTCCCGCCTTTGAGTTTCTTTATATTCTTAGAGATTTCTTTATTTCCTTCTCATGTTCCCTTTTTTTTCTGTCGACTTTTTTACATGATTTTCTTTCTTGTCATGGATTCTCCGATCATTATTGTTCCTACTCCCGACCAATTTTCCACTCTTCAGGATAAGAATGGTTTTCAACCAGAAGATGGCATTACATTTCTTGGAAAAAATCTATGTTATGGAATCGTCAGAGGGGAAGATTTGTATATTCATGAAACGTTTTGATGTTTTGATGTTGGTTACTGTCTTTCTACCTCCAATTTATTCCATGGGGTTTTGGGTCAACACAAGGTGCATATCAATGAGTTGGTGTTGAATGACATAAATAAACTTGTCGCTTTTGAGATGCTATGTTGGGCGAACAGGATAACATCTGATGTGTGGGTGTTTTGCAATTTTTTCTGATTTTGCATCATCGACATATGGTGAATAGCACACCTTTTCCGTGCTTAAGTATAATCATGCTTTGGTGACAAAGCAAAAGAATTCTCCAAAAAACTTGGTGAAATGCTATTATTGGGTTAATGCTAATTATGTTGATGTGATGCAACACCATGTTTGATCCAATTTCCGATCAATCATTTACTGTTTACTATGATAATGAGTATATGGATAGGGTTTTATGGTGTTTTCAAGTGGTGGCAGATAATTTCCTTGAATACGCTCTTGTTGGTGCTGGGATGAGTACATCTTGGAGACTCTGGGTTAAAATGTTGGATTATTTTGTTGTTGTCAAAGGTAAGTTTCTCTTTCTTTCCTTCTTTAACTCTCCATTCTCTTTCTATCCCCCCTCTCCCCCCCCTCTCTCTCTCTCTCTCTCTCTCTTTCTTTCTTTAAAAAAAAAACCTTGAAGGTTATTTATTTATTTATTTATTTATTTTATTTTATAGCTTAAGGGTCAAGAAAATAGTGGATTTTCTGTGTAACACTTGTGTTCCCATGTATTTTCAATTTTAGCTTAAAATATAAAAGTTTGCATTTTTGGTCCTTACGCAGTGCGTATTCCATGGGTACGCCTAGATTAACTCATTAAAAGGTGGTGGAGCTCCTTTGAGTACGCATGGCGTACCCATGCAGATCCCGAATCCTAATTTTTAGGGTTTGGACCCTATTTAATGGACATTAAGCCCTTGAGGCCTCCCTTATCTTCAGCCTCCATTCCTCATTTCTGTCATATCGAAACCCTAACATTATAAAGCTTGTTTTGGACCTTTAAAGTGTTCTTGGAGAATTGTGGAAGAAGGAGAAGCATACCATTGAGGATTATTGGGCTTGGATCTTGTAGATCCAAAGTTTCCTTCACATTTTCAATCTTTTGGAGGTATAAAGCTCTCACAATTATGATTCTTTTGTAAATATATTGGTTAGTTTGGAGATTTGCATGATTTTGGTCCCATAGGTTTGGTTATTATGAGGAAAAACTACTCCAGAGCTTACAATTAACAATTCTTGGTGTTTCTGAGGTTCTTATGTCATAAAAATTAGATATTGAGGGTTGTATTTCCTCCGATGCATGAAGTGTTGGTCATTTTGTGAAGTTATGGACCTAGGGTTTGATTTTGGGCTCTATTAAGCCATGCAAAAGCTTGAAGTTGTCAGTTTTATCAGTTAAGACCTTCCCACGATTTAGATATGTGAATAAGACGTTTGGGATTTAGGTATTAAGAGGTTAAAAGTGATTTTAGACAATAGAGGGTTATGCAGGGCATAACCTCTGTGTACGCATGGCATAACGGGTTGGCCCCGTGTACCTTTTATGCGGACATCGAGTACGCATGGTGTAATGCAGGGGTACGCATTGCATACTCCTGTAGTCCATTTAGTCAATTTTTGGTCCTTGGGCCATTTTTAGTTGGGTCAATTATAGGAATGGTAAAATGGTCTTTTACCCTTAGTAAGAGAGAATATGATTTGTACCTTTAATTATGGGTTATTACCCTAAATAGTAATTAGGGTTGGTTTGGATGTGTGCAGTGTGAGGAGCCTTTGTAGCAGTAGTGCATGTATGATTCGGATATCGTTAGTTTGAGGTAAGTCTCTTCACTGTACTTATTGGTCGAAGACAACAATACCGGTCCACTAGATTATGTTGTAGGATGATAGTTGTTTTTGTGACACTTACTGACATGACTGTATGTGCTTGTTGTCTTCGTTACTCTTGCTAATATGATTGTATGCTTAGATGTTGGGGTGAAATAGACCCGTACCGATTGAAAAATACCGAGGGAGTCGGAAGGGACTCAGAGAGTTGGTAGGGACTCAGGGAGTTGAAAGCGACTCAGGGGTGAAATAGACTCGTTACAACTTTAGGCTGATATGTATATATGGTATGTGGTATTTTGAGGAACTCACTAAGCTTGGTGCTTACAGTTTATGTTTAAATGTTTTTCAGGTACTTCCGGTTCAAAAGGGAAGGGTCCGTCATGATCGCATCGCATCCACCAATGTTTAGGATTTTATGATTTTGAGATTATACTCTGATAACTATTTTTCCACATTGTCATACTTTGATGGTTTGAAATGAATAGTTGATGGTTTTGGTTGACTTAAAAATAAAAATAAAATTTAGTTAGTATTTTGGGGATGTTACATTATGGATGTGTTGGCGAAGAAATGGGCTGAGAATCTTCGTTATCACAATATTGATTTGCTTGATTGTGTGTTACCATCATTTATTTTTCAGAGTATCCCACAGATGGCGACAATGATGCGAAGTTGATCTTTGGGGATGCTCTGTTAGTGTAACCTAATGGTGAGATGGAGATCTGAATCACAACAACATATAATATGTCATTCGTGCTCTTGGAGTATCCCACAAATGGCGACAATGATGTGAAGTTGATCTTTGGGGATGCTCTGTTAGTGTAACCTAATGTTGAGATGGAAATCTGAATCACAACAACATATAATATGTCATTCGTGCTCCTGTCCCGAGAGAATGCTCCCAGAGTTAAGTTAGTCTTCGATGAAGATAAGTGTATGAGTATACCGACAAAATGAAGAGAGTAAGATCCCTTTATCGTTAGTGGCATGTGGCCTTTTATAGTGAGGTGCTTGACGGTAATGTTGATTGGTGAATCGTATATTTGTCTCATGTCCGAATTGTGATTGACTTAACAAAAGTAGTGGTAGTGGTGTGCGCACTACCACTAGAGATTGTAGGTGATCTTTTGTCACCTGGCGACTTGATCGTGAATGTTAAAGGCTTAGGCCTTCCGTCTAGCAATGATCTGGCGTCAGCTCTTCTTATTTGGTTAAGTATTTTATCAGGTTTTCATCTATGTTTTTAGGGGCAACCTTGATGTTGCGTTTTAGTAAGATGGTAACTCGATGTTGGGTGTGTCTCAATTTTATCTTTTGGTATGTATGTGATTTTAAACTTTATACTTTAATGAAAGGGGAGGAGGGAGGAGGGAGGAGAGAGTAAGATGTGTAATTTAGAAAAGCATAATGGAGTTGACTGTGGTTTATACGAAGAAAATATAATAACCCTGCTAGACCAACCTACTGTTTAGTGTTTACTCTCAGAGAAAAAAATGAGGGTTAAATAATAAATTACACAAAATCTCTCTCAAATTAGTTTCTCTATCCTCTCTGTTGTGCTGCTTCTTTTATTCAGCGTCTCTTCGGTAACTGACACACTTCTCTGCAAGAAAGCTGTAAATTTCCCGCCGGCTTCCGGCACTTTCCTCTCCGGTAAGTCTTTCATTTTAACGCCGTAACCGCTACGTTAAAGAGCTCGATGTTGGGCTATTTATGTTTTGATGAATTTGAGATACATATATAGATGAAGCGCAAAACCCCGCCATTTGTTTTGTTCAATCGATTGTTAGTTTAGGGTTCTTCTCAAATTTAGGTTGTTTCCATTAGTTTACTGCTTCCCGTTAAGTTTGATATTTTCAGGTGGTTTTCTACAAAATTGTTTCATTTTCCATACACCCTTTAGGTATTCGTTTATGGGCATGCGTGGAATTTTGTTACTTGGGATTCTTGATGATGGAGATTTTTCATGGGTTTTGTAGATTGTGATATTTATATCCGGGCGTATACAAGAATTAATGGTTTTGATGATAATGCTTATTGTTTTTATTCACGAGATTCGTGTACGTGTTTAGATGGTGGATTTTTGAGAATCAGATCTATCTGAATGTTGAGTTGGATTACTGGTTGCGTATATAGTATAGGTAAAGCGGGATTCTTGAACGCTCTTTTGGTCATCAACAATTTATGGTAGCAACAAGCAAATGTGTTAGAGATATGAAATCTTATTAAATCCAGCTGTGATCATGTTTTCCTTTTTGCTTCATTTCATGACCAATTGCCATTTATTTGATTGAAGTGGTCCAAAATTCTTGGATTGCATATGCTTATTAGGTGTGTGGCTACCTGGATTAATGATTAGCCATAAAAACATTGATTTATGAATTTAGGGTTAGTAGTAAGCAGCAATCCAATGTAAGTTGAAGATGTTAGTCTTAGGTCAGAAGGGGCTTATTTAAGTTAAGAACTTAAGATATGTAAAAGGTTTGAAGTTGTTGGCAAATGTGCTTCTCATAAACTACTGTTTTATTGATGCTGGGGAGGGGAGGAGGTGGTGGGATGCTAAGGGCTTGTAAACTTGTTATTTTATGCTTTAGTCAAGGTTTAGATTATACAAAGTCAAACTAATGCAAGATTTAAAACGTTTATATTATTGTACCTGTAATTGAGATAAATGTTTATAAATCGTTAGTGCCAAATTATTAGAATATGGTATGTGGTCTTGTAATCCATTCTAGTTCTCTATTCCTTCTCTACAAGTGAAACAGTTTTCCTTTTAATCAATTTTAAAGTAAACATATCCTATATGACGATTGAAAGTCAAAATCGATCTCCATTCCTAAGCTCAAAGGAGTATTGATATTTTAATTATTAATTTTGCACTTTCTACATTTACTGAATCTTAGTGTAAGGAATTAAGAATATGAAATATTAATGAGATGCCCATACCCCATAGAAGGAACATCATAAAATGCAACATGTTGGTGTATGAATTAGTAATTACCATAACTTTCTAAACAACGTTGGTCATACCACATTGTCTACACTTCCAAATCTATAGGTGATCACTCCTTTTTCTTAAAAAGAATTATAATTTATAGGAGAGATTTAATAGAGACTCGGGTTTTATAAGGCGTAAAATGGTCATTTGGGTTTGGGGACCCTCTCAATGAAATCCACATTTGGCGTTTTTTTTATGGAAGAATTTATTTTCTTGTGTATCCTAGCGAATGATAGTTTTATTTTATCGAATTTCATCAAATAACACGGATATCTTGAAACCACAAAAAGAAAATTCTTCTTTTCTCCAAATGTTCCATTTTTTTTTTTCTATCAATTTTGTAGCTCAAATTGAGTGACTAGATACAATGTAGAATTGATGAATTTCATTTTGTCATTTTTGTTTCAAACTAGATACAATGTAGAATTGATGTGTTTCATTTTGTCATTTCTTTTTCTCAAACTAAAATGATTTATACCTTGCCTCCATGTCCTATGATGGCAACACTTGGCAAAATTTAGGAAAATAGGAAAAGGAAGAAATATGTATGCCTACGTGCATCTTGCAAGGTTAACTGGTGGCATGCAATCCTTGAGGTTTTAGAAAATAAGCAGACACGGGGCAATGTACTTCACACGTGTAACTTGCAATTCTAAAAATGGACATTTTGTTATAACAAAAGAGTATCCAACAACAAGCTTCTTATCTCAAACTAGTTAGAGAAGCAATGCAAGAAGAGAAAGTTTGAGTAGCGCACGTTTCTAGCTTGACTTTTAGGGGTAGGTGGTTTGTTATAAGTTGAGTAAATTCGTATGTGTAGATGTAGATTGTTGTTCATCTTCTCGAATTTAATACACAATTCTTAAATGCAGTTTACGGAGCACCGGTCTTTCGATTTATTGCTATTTATTTCATGATTACGGAAGCAGAGGCACAAGTTTTCCTATTTAGTCATGTTGATGCTTGGCAAAAATGTCAAAGGGAATTGTTACCAATTCTCATTTCTGATCTAGGGATTGCAGAATCAATTGTGATCTTCAAATCAAGCACAATTGATACTACAGTCTTCACTACTCAATTCAGCAATCATGTCTCCATGGTGGAACAAATCTTCATCTGAAGAAGTAAAGAAGAAGTCAAACAGTGGGGGTATTTTCGGAACGATTCAGAGAAAGCTGAAAAGCCCATCTGAATCAAAACACAAACAAAAGGGATCTAATTCCCGTGTGGGTTCTCCATCAACACTAGTGGCTCGATCCCAAAGTTTTGCAGAAAGACCTCTTCCCCACCCACTCCCACTTCCTGATGTTCATCCCACTGCTGATTCAGGAAAAAGGGCATCAAGAAAATCTGGAATTGGGAAAGGCTCCTCGTTGACACCTCATAAACCTAGTCGTTCCCAAAATGCCCCTGGTCATGTGGATGTTGAAGGTGATTTGGCAACTGATTCGGTTTTTACCGATAGCTCAAGTGACAGTGATGATCCCTCTGATTCACGGCTTCTAAGCCCTCAGGTATCCGACTATGAAAAGACTTACACAAACAGTCCTTCCAGGTGAGTTTTCTTAATTGGTATTAAATTAATTACTTTCCCTTTTTATCTTTAAAGATCTAACATTTACCCTCTCTTTGAAGTGCGGTTTGCAAGATCCAAAATCATCACATTGCAACACAAAAGAAAAGGGAGAAATTGAAGCCGGTGAACACAACCACGTGTCCGCACAACCAAACGGTGCCCACGTCACCAAAGCGGCGACCTTTAAGTCGCCACATGGCGAAATTACAGATTCCTCAATCCGGTGCTTTCTTTAGTGCTCCAGACAGTTCTATGTCCAGCCCATCTAGAAGTCCAATGAGGGTATTTGGGCCTGACCCGACTCTGACATCTGGTTTATGGGCCGGAAGGCCCTATGCGGATGCGGGTTTTCTTGGGTCGGGTCAGTGCTCTAGTCCCGGGTCGAGTCATAACTCGGTTGGTGGAGACATGTCTATGACTCAGTTATTCTGGCAACATAGTCGATGCAGCCCTGAATGCTCACCTTTACCTAGTCCTAGGATGACTAGCCCTGGTCCTAGCTCAAGAATACAAAGTGGGTCTGTCACCCCATCACATCCAAGAGCATGTGGGTTGAACATGGTGGACCCATTTGCAAACTGGCCTGATGATGCGGTTAGTGGAAGACAACAAAGTCACAGACTACCCCTTCCACCTTTAACAATCTCCAACAATTGTCCTTATTCAACCGGAACCACCCCAACAGTTCCAAGAAGTCCAGGTAGAGCAGCAGATCTTTTGGCTGGCCATGCTTCACGTTGGAAGAAAGGAAGGTTGCTTGGTAGAGGCACCTTTGGACATGTTTATCTTGGTTTCAACAGGTTTGTATATTTAATGCTTGCTTTTACAAATATAAAAACTAGTTTTTAAAACTCTTTTGACTTCTCTGATTCTCTAAACTGTAGTGAGAGTGGGGAAATGTGTGCAATGAAGGAGGTGATTTTATTTGCAGATGATGCAAAGTCAAAGGAAAGTGCCCAACAGCTGGGGCAAGTAAGTCTTTTTGGTGGTTCCCATAATCTCTTGTTGACAGACGTTCTTTATCTCCCAACAATCTAACATTTGTTGTTTGATGTTTGACAGGAAATCGCACTATTAAGTCGCTTGAGACATCCAAACATCGTACAATACTATGGATCTGAGACAGTAAGAGAACCATTTACTTCCTTCTTGGCTCATATTTTTCTTAATGATATATGTTTTAAGGTTTTTAAAGATTCTTGGTTTGTGTAAAAAACTTACTAGGTGGATGACAAGCTTTATATTTACTTGGAGTATGTCTCGGGTGGTTCCATTCATAAGCTTCTCCAGGAGTATGGTCAGTTGGGTGAATTAGCTATCCGGAGTTACACTCATCAAATTTTGTCAGGACTCGAGTATTTGCACGCTAAGCATACAGTCCACAGGTGAGTTTAGTTTTGGTCACACACTCTTTATTATTATTTTTATTATTATTATAATCTTCTAAAAGACTTTGTATTGTCTTTTCCTAGGGATATTAAAGGAGCAAATATACTGGTAGACCCTAACGGACGTGTAAAATTGGCCGATTTTGGGATGGCAAAGCATGTAAGACACACACACACACACATATAAATCTTATAATAACCACCTGTCTTTTGGTGTCTTGAGTTTTGACTTGATTGTTTCACAGATTTCAGGGCCTTCATGCCCGTTATCCTTCAAGGGAAGCCCATACTGGATGGCACCCGAGGTGAGCATACCTTCCAAGCTCATTTATTTTTTTAAATGATTAAAATATTCTGTAGTTATATTAATATGAATTCAACTGTTTCAGGTTATCAACAATAATTCAAACGGTTGCAATCTTGCTGTGGATATATGGAGTCTCGGGTGCACAGTGCTAGAAATGGCTACAACTAAACCTCCTTGGAGTCAGTATGAAGGGGTTAGTAGAAATGGTTACAAAATATTATATGCATTTTTATCTGTAATCTTGGTTGGTTCACATGACATGAGCTTACGATTTACTTTCTTGTCAAAGGTGGCTGCTTTGTTTAAGGTTGGAAACAGCAAAGAGCTTCCATCAATCCCTGAACATCTTTCCGATGAAGGCAAAGATTTTATCTTGCAATGCTTACAGAGGAACCCATCACACCGCCCTACTGCTGCACAGCTTCTAGAACACCCTTTTGTTATAAATATTGCTTCATCTGAACGATTGATACTGGATCCAGGCCCAATTACAAACGCAGTCAGATTTCTGGTATGTTTTTTTTTTCCCCATTTTTTCTAACTGTTTAAATTTGACCCATTTGACCAAAAATAATAGTAGTAATTCCTTCTTCCATGGTTGTAGGGCATTGGATATGGTTGTGAAGGAGTTTCTGTTGTTCACTCTCGAGGACAAAAATCTAGTCCTGGATTCAGGTCTATCTAGTTCCAGTTCCATTGCATTTTTTTTATTCTTAATACATGTGATGTGATGTGATATTTTTTCATGGTTCTGATGCATTGATGCTGATTTGCAGTAACATATCATGCCCGGTTTCTCATTTGGGCAGCCCACTTTTGCATCAAAGATGTGTTCAAAATATGAATGGAAGACTATCCCCATCTCCAATATCGAGCCCGCGAACCATCTCTGGTTCATCCACTCCTCTAAATGGAGCAGGTGGTGCCATTCCTTTCTACCACCACCAGGTCCAGAAACAGCAGCCAAGTGTGTTGTACACTCCTGAGTTCACAGGTTTGGGCTTGAGTTCACGCTCTCCCACTAGATCTTTTGGACCTCCTCCTGTTACTGGATCGTATTATCATGACTCGAGGCCCGATATGTTTCGTGCAATGCCTCAAGGGTCTCCCTTCTTTCAGGAGATAGTTCCTTCTGATAACGATTTTCTTGGGAACCAAAAAGAAAGATACAGCGGGCAGTCGGTGCTTGTCAACCGTGTTTCCGAGCAGCTTCTCAGAGATCATGTCAGGCAGAATCCAGTCCTTGACCTCACCCCTCCTTCACCGGTGGTTAGTCGAAGAAGGAGTTGACCACCATCGACTACAAGAACATACTATGAATAACATCTATATATATATATATCTATATTTATCTTTCTCTCTCTCTTTTTTTTTTTTTTTTTTTTTTTTTTTTTTTTTTTTTTTTAAATGCACATGATCCCTTTTGGAAGCTGAAATGGAAGGAGGGATGCAGATGGATGGGTTCTGAAACTCCAGCATTTAACAGTGGTTCGTGGTGGATATGTAAAGAAGTGTACACCTCATACTATGAGAAAGAGAAGGGATTCATGGGCTTGTTTTCAGGGGTTTTACTTTTACTGCCGTACAGGAAGAAGAAGGATAGGTGTTAAAGAGTCTTTAGATTTTGTTGAAAAGTTTGTGCTTCCGTGGTTTAAACTAGAGTTAGGATATGAAAAATAGTTACTTAACCATCTTATGTGCAACATCAAAAGCTTTATCAATGAGAATGTTCTTTTTTTTTTTGGTCTTATCAGCTTAATGATCTTTGGTTGTCTACTGTCTGTTTTATACAATAAAGCAATCAATTTTGTTGAAAATATACACATGAAGTGAACTAGTATATGATTATGGAGCCACCATGCCCAGGCTAAAATCCCAGAGTTTCTTGGCAAATTCTGAATCTTTGGCAAGAGAACTCGGCTTTGCTTTGTTACTGTCTACAAAATACTCGCCACTAACCCCTTTGACTTGCGGGTGTAATGCCACATAGCATGTGGTTGCTGCCCCCCTGAAAATGATAAGGATCAAAACTGAGTCATTCTTTATTTAAGGTAATTCAGAGACGTAAATTTAATGAATCCAACCTGTGGGATAGTTTTGAGGAAGTATTTCCCAACCCAATCAACGACACCTGGCTCATAAGATCAAAAAAGATCAAAAAACCAAAATGTAACAAACACTCAAGTAGAGATTTTTAATAATGATAAAAAGAGCTCTGAGTTTTACCCTCAAGAAAGCTGTGATGACGTAGAAGACTGGTTGCAATGCCACCAGGATGCAGCGAGTTTGCAGTCAACTCCACCTTTTCTTCCTGATTTTTAACAATTATGCAAAAATCATAAACATCAAGGAGAAAAACCATGCCCCTAGTGTTTGGTCCCACTCAAAGAGGTGGCATAGGGACTCACTCTGGATCTCTAGTCTGATCAAAACTCAAAAGACATGGATATCCTTGAGGTCCAAGAAAATAGCTTGTCGAGTCCTAACATGCAACTAAAACAGAGCTAATGATTTAAGGTAATTTTATTACAAGTAAAAATAAAATTACCTTAAATTGCCTTGATAGCTCGTTAGCGTGCAGTATGTTGGCCAGCTTTGACTGTCCATAGGCGTATATGGGGCTGTAACTGAACCATGCATAGAACAACATTCATTAATGAACTCAAAGCACAAAACAATAATATGATCTGGAATGAGCTTCCCTTGTGTACCTTGACTCATCGTTTATTTTGTCAAAGTAAATTCCTTTGTATGCAAATCGATGACCCTCGGATGATACGTTCACTATTCTTCCTTCTTTTTCATGTTCACGTGAAGTTTTCTTCATGGTATCCAGTAAAAGATTCGTCAAAAGAAAATGACCTGTAAAAAGACGATACCTTAATGAAGTGTTTGGTTCGTGGATTCCAGTGGAATTGGAATTCAAGATTCCATTCCCCGGTGTGTTTGGGTGTCAAATGAAGGTAATACTTCAATTCCGTAGGAATCCTTAGATTTCATCAATGGGATTCACCATTCCTTCCAAGCTTGGAAGGAATTCAATTGCGGTGCTTTACTTATTTAACTAAAAGACCAAAATATCCCATTATACATAAAAGAATATTAAGTTGGTTTATTTTGTTTCTTGGCTACCACGTGACAGATTACAATTCCTTCAGCCAAACATTGTGATAATCACATACCTAAATGATTGGTTGCAAATTGTAGTTCAATCTTGTCTTTTGAAAGCGTGAATGGAGGAGCCATAACCCCTGCATTGTTACTTTTTGACAACAAATCTTGTAATTTTGATAAAGAAAATATCCAAAAATGGAAAGGTAAAACGACACCAAAATAGATATTTCTCGTACATGAGAATGTTTAAAGGAAGGCCCAATGAACAATACTCGGCTGCAAATTTCCTTACAGATGCTAGAGAGCTGAGGTCTAACTCTATCACATCAACTCTAGCATCAGGTGTCTCCATAAGTATTGTCTCTTTAACTGTTCTACCGGCTTCTGTATTTCTTACCCCCATCACCACATGTACACCGTGCATAGCAAGGACCCGTGCTGTCTCTGTGCCTATACCACTTGAAGCTCCTGAATGCACACATGAACATCCATCAACACATGAACATGGAGTGAAACGGGCCCAATTTCATATCCAACAAAAAAAAAAGAGACCATCATCAATAGCAAAAATCAGAGCATATTGATCAAACACCCGAAGTTACTTATATACTGATATCAGGATCAAGATTTAGTGATCCAAGTACAACAAGTTAAACCCATCTTTCTGTACCCCCAAATCACAAGTTCTTGAAGTTCTGTTTTGTTAACTGTTATTCAGTTATGTGCAGTGGATCGAACCCTTAAAAACCCAGCAAAGATATCAGAAGGCGAAACAATTCAAGAAAAAAGGATCAAGAATCCTAATTAGAAGCAGAGGGTTGAAGATGCGCGCTTTTACCGGTAACAATGGCGGTGAGACCAGTTCCATCGATTCCTTTGGTAACATCTTCAGCTGTTGAAGAAGCTCCAAACCCTGATTCCCCTTTTCTTCCAAAAATCCACATTCTCTAAGCTTTCTGCTCCAGATGATTAATTTTAATTATCAGCTTAAGTTTAGCATTATGTAATGGGTCAACCATTTGAATCCAAAGTCATAAGATTAGATTTAATTACAAAAATAATCAGAACAGGTAAGAGAATAAAGTTAATTACAAAAGATCACATATTTTATAAAACTTGCGAATTTCACCGATTAGTTTTTTGCTAATTTGCTAATGTTATAATTCTTAAGTTTTAAAAAAAGATAATGTCTTGAAAGGGTAACGAACTTTCGATTTTGTTTACATTTAGTCACTAAACTTTTTTTCGTTATCTATTTGCCATTGAACTATTGAAACTGTTCACATTTTACCCTTATGACCGGCTGTTACCGGTCATAAGGGTAAAATGTAAACAGTTTCAATAGTTTAGTGGCAAATAAATAACGAAAAAAAGTTTAGTGACTAAATGTGAACAAAATCGAAAGTTCGTATCCCTCTAAAAAATTCAATGATTAAATGTGAACAAACTTCCTATTGTATTATGTTTTAGCAAATTACATATTTTTATTTAGTTATAGCAATATTTGTTGAAGAAGAAATCTATGAAATAAAAAAACAAAATGTAACATCCAGATTTTCAGGTATCATAATTTAAGTAATTTTCTTTTGAGTTAAGAAGAGCGACTCAACGAGTTAACGCCTCAACTCGTCGAGTAAGGTCGCGACTGATGACTCGGATTAATGAATGGACTCGACGAGTCGGTGAGGCGACTCGACGAGTCCACGCTGTTGGCAGAAACCCTAAATCTTTGGGCCCGAGCCATATTTAAAGGCACTTATGGCCTTCAATTGCGACTACCTTTCCCATAAGTGAGAACCCTAGCGAGGTTTGAGTGTGTAGAGTGAGAGGAAGAGCTATCTTGAGCTTTTTGGTGTGATAGATCTGTACCCTTCTAGGTCCAGAGAGCCGAGAATATGAAGCTTTAGTAGAGTAAACATTGGGGTTCGAAGTTAGGAAGCATTTATGGGATTTTTATGGTATATATAGTTACTTTCATCTTACATAGATATGAAGTATTTTATATAAATTACGTGCTATGTGTGCATATTATTTGAATACTTGCTGTCTATGCTGGATGAACGATTTTATACATGTTTTAAAAGATTAAAATGGTATATTTATTTTATATCTACAAATATGTTGCGGATGAAACATGGGTAGATGAAATAATTGGTGTGTGATGAAATAAAATGATGACAGATAGGTGATGATAGAAAGGTGATGATAATCAGGTAAATAGACGATGATGAATATGTGATGTAGGATAAAAGGAGATACCATAACCTTAACCGGCAATGTGGCGATGTAGTCATCTACCCGAGTATAGATGGCAATCACGGACTATTCTAGACAACCCAGTGGAAACACCAGCAGGCCCATAACCTGTAGGTGATGAATTACGAGTTCAGGCGATGTTATAGCTACGTATTCATGTGATGATACTCTAACTCCTTACTATTAATTACGAGTTCAGACGATGTTGTAACTACATATTTATGGGATGTCACAAATTCCGCATGCCAAACCAATGGTCATAATTCACATCAGTGAGAATGGTTCATTTTTTTGTACAACCAAAATCAGATTGGAAATTTTGATTTTTTATTTTGGAAAATATCAAATCATTGGTTTTTTATTTCAGTTTTGGTTTTTTGTTTTTTTTAAATATATTTTCAGGGTTTTATTTATTTATTTATTTAATTTTTATTTCGTAGATTTCTTCATCAACAAATGTTGCTACAATTTAACAAAAATAAATAATTTGCTAAAACATAATACAAGAGGAAGTTTGTTCACATTTAGTCATTGAACTTTTTAGAGGGAAACGAACTTTCGATTTTGTTCATATTTAGTCACTAAACTTTTTTTCGTTATCTATTTGCCACTAAACTATTGAAACTGTTCACATTTCACCCTTATGACCGGCTGTTACCGGTCATAAGGGTAAAATGTGAACAGTTTCAATAGTTCAATGGCAAATAGATAACGAAAAAAAGTTTAGTGATTAAATGTGACAAAAGTCGAAAGTTCGTTACCCTTTCACATCATTATCCCTTAAAAAAATGTCAGGATTTTACTTTTTGGTTGATTAGATTATTAGGTGTGGGCTTACCAACCAAAGTGTCAAGATCATCATCTTAGTTATAATTTGGTATTATAACACTAAAAATGTAAATCAACAACACCAAATAAAATGGATAATTAGGGCTGACAATTCTTGATACAACACGTAACACGACCCGCGACACAACACGAAATAAATGGGTTTGGGTTGAGTTTTTCAACCCGCCAACCCGTTTATTAAACGGGTCATATATGGGTTTCTCAAAAAATAAACGGGTTGACCCGCCAACCCGTTTATATTCTTAATAAAAAAATTATTATATTTTTAAATGTATTTATGTATCAAGTATTAATATTTAATAACTATTATATAATATATACCATTTATTCATAGATCATTTGATTGTTTTGACATTATTACTCGTGGTGGATGGTCTAAGGTCATAAGTCGTAACTTATAAGGCTAAGTTTGTAACATGTTTCTATGAATGCTTTTAATTTTCATCTGGATGTTTAAGACTTAAATATCTAAAATTTGAACCCACGAACCCAAATCTGACCCATGAACCCGCCAACTTGTGAACCCGTATAAATAAATGGGTTGGTGGGTCATATATGAGTTTATGTTCCAAACCCGCCAACCCGTGACCCGCCAACCCGTGATCTGTATAGTTAAATGGGTCGTGTTTGGGTTGGCATATTTTGACCCGCCAACCCGCGACACGTCAACCTGAACACGACACGATTGCCAGGCTTAATCTACATTAATATACTGCTATAACAATAACATGTTAACAACGTTACGATAGTTGTATATTTTCAGATGCGAAATAACTATATCCTGGTTATTATAACTATCTATGTTGATACTAATATACTATCATATAGACATAATATTAACATATATACAATGACTAGCATGCGTTTTCCCCCGAAATATCAGAAAGTGGGGCCGTGAAACTCACCTTAGTAACGTGATTTTATGTAATCTAAGCAGAAACGGTCAACGTGCGAGATCGTCGGGGCTCGGGATGCAAGAGGGCTTCAGCAAATGAGAGAGGAGAAAGGAGATCAGGTTTAAGAATGATTGGGTTCGATCTTGCTATTTATAGTAAGATTTTATGACACTCACATCGTGAGTGTCTTAAGGCTCACGTCGTGAATCTGCCTGGTTCACTCCGTAGACTTGCCATTTGCGTCCCTAGCTTCGGAAGGTGGCCATGACTCCTCACGTCGTGAGTGTCATAAAGCTCACGTCGTGAATTTGGATCCTATCCTCTCGCAGCTTCTAGATTCCAAATTATGACAGAATGACTCCTCACGTCGTGAGTGTCATAAAACTCACGTCGTGAATTTAGGTGCTGTTTGATTTTCTGAAGCAAAAATTCATGAAGTCTACGGACCACCTCTGCAACCCTCTGCAGTAGAAGAGGTGGACCAAACGGCTGCAGACTATAACAAGAAGCGTGTTTGTTTTTTTAACATCTGCATACTGCTGCAGATATTAAAAAATTAAAATAAACTAATTTTATAAACCGAAAACAGCTTTTTAATACGTAAAATTTAATAATGTATAACATTTCGGTAAAAATTAATGATATTTCAGTAAAAAAGAATGATATTTCAACAAAAAATAAAGATATTTTCAGTAAAAAATAATGATATTTCATCAACAAATTATCATTATTGAATATAAAAAAAATGAAAAATAAATTCAATAAGAATAAACGAAAAAAAAGGGAAAAAATGTGAAATAAAATTTTAATAACATATAATCAAAATTTTAGTAATAAAAAAAGAAGAAGAAGAGGTTGGAAGAGGTTGGAAGAGGCAGTACAAGTGATGCGCCAAACAGAGCACGCGCAGAGGTTTTTTGACTCAAAAGACTTCTAAAAAACAAACAGCTGCGAGATGAAAAGTGTTGCGCGTGTGCGGCGCCGCGCAGCAGTAAGAGGTTTGAAGAGGTTTTTTCCAAAAAACAAACAGCACCTTAGTTAGTGTAGGGTTTTTAAAAGCTAAATCTTCGGAAGGCCATAACTTTTGCATACGAACTCCGTTTTTGACGTTCTTTATATGCACGCGTAGGTATTTACGAGTAATACAACTCTATTTTAGACTTAAATAGCTAATTCTAAGTATATTTTAAATTTCTCTTATTATAGAGATTTATAGTGTTCGGTTTATCATAACTTCTTCATGCGAAGTCAGATTCAGACGTTCTCTATATTTTTGGAATCGTATGGACATATACTTTAAGTTGTATCATAAAGAAAGTTCATATTTGTATTAGAATTTATCATGAACTACATAACATTCTTACCACATTACTAGGTTAACATAATCACATTACTGTTGGGTTATGAGCATTCTAACACTCCTAAGTGTACATGCAACCCTAAATACCTTGGATCTATGTTTTCTCTATTATACATACAAATATGAACATCCAAGGTATTATCCTAATCTAACATACAAAACTATCAATATAACAAGATAGAATACATACCTCTTTGATGTAGAATGTCTTCATGAAGCTTGAGTGCCTAGTGCCCCAAGTGTGACACCTCAAATGGTTCACACAACACCAAATACACTTGGAATAACTTGAGAGAATTCTACACTTCATGAAATCGGCTAGCCCTCTCTAGAATAATACTAGTGGCCGATTTTGATCAAGAATAAGATGTTTATATAGTTATACAATTAGGGTAAACCCTAATTGTCATGACTTTCCATTTCCTTGGATCCATGGGTTCAAATACACCATGGAGCATCCATGGAGCATCATATGGGTTTTGGCCCAACTAGATAATCCATGGAGCATTAGCCCACTATATAAGTATGGATGATTTGCACAATCAACCCATATATTTAATTAGTCTTCTTTTGATCACTTAATTAATCCTAGATTAATTCTTGATCAATACTAATTAAATAATCTCATTATTCTTATTATTAATATACTAGAACTTATAATATATTAATAACCATAAGTGTCTTATTTCTCTCATTATAGTCTA